AGTTTCCTTTCAGTGCTATTATTAGTAAATGTATTTATTTTCAAAATGAATGTTTTTTTTTCTTTTTTTTTCAGATCATAACCCTGTTCCCATCATTGCTAACTTCATCATGGACCTTTTTACCTTCAAAAGACATTCACTCTATAAAAGACATCAGTGGATTAAGTAAGATTTGCTTAGACATGATAAAGGCCACAGGCAACCCAAACTTATTAGACTGCACTTAGCAATGAGCTTGGGCTGCCTGTGTAATTTAGACAAATCTTTTGTTTACATTTTGCTGATTAAGTAATATAAATAAAATTTTCATGGATCAGAATCACCCCAAAAGGCACAGGCAGCCCAAAGTTCATTAAGCATTTCATGATTTAACATGCAATCATGCAATCCACCTTACAAAACTCTATTCATTTTTCAGTGAAAGGTAGCAAGACATTTATGGCTGAGGCAATGAACTTTCTCCTTTCATTTTTGGTAAGTAATAATTTACTTACTGTCCTGGTAGAATCCATTAAATTATATATTGTTCTGCCAATGGCACACATCCAGGGCATTACAAAGGAAAAAGGGAGCGACTAGCCATCCAATAGCCGACTTTAGATATTTTGGTTCAGTGACCATGCACAAAAGAATTGCAGACAATGCTCCGGGGAAATAAAGAATAAAACGATATTATACGCTCTTTGATTGGTCATTTTGAAGCGTGCACTTCAAAATAACTTTTTGCAATATTAAAAAAAAATAAAATTTATCAATGGATAATCTTGATTTATTCTTTATTTCCCCGGAGCCTCGTCTGCAATTCTTTTGTGCATGGTCACTGAACCAAAATATCTAAAGTCGGCTATTCACATCTATTGCCCTAATATATAGCTCCTAAATGGTGCAAATGTTGGAAACATTGTAACATAAGAAATAAAAAATGTTTAGTTTTTCTTAATGGTTAGTTATCTTAAAGCTTTCATTTCCAGGAAGAATCCAGGCAAAGACCATGTTATCAGCTATGCAAAGAGGTTTGTTTTAAGAATTTTAGGGATGACTCAATCTATCAACATTATCCGTTCAGGTCGTGGGGGGGCCTCAAAACCCTTACTTTTAAACGGAATTTACAATGTTTCTGTGTCAACGGAAACTGCAACATATTCCAGAATACAACAGACCAAAACTTAACTCCATTCAGACAAAAACCCTAACCCTATCCGAGATAAAAACCATACCCTATCCCAGACAAAATGTCAAAAAAGATACACTACCACCGACTTAAAAGCCAGAAACAACCATACCTCATAGCCCCATAGCGTGGCAGATACCTGTATAGCAAATATAGGCCCCAGGTGACATTAGAGGTTACGAATTCATCATCCGTACGATATCATACAAAATAGAGGAGTTTACGCTTGATGATGAATGATGGGTAAATTAGGGGCGTTGGGAAAGAGATACGTTTTGCGCTATATTTCGTTTCTGAGTTAAACATCCCAAACCAAACTTTTTCTGTAGATTGATAATCGACTGTTCAWTGTTTTGTGGCTTTCTTTTGAACCAATTGGGTCATTCTTTCTGGGGCATGATTTTTTTTCAATGATCAAATTGAGCTCAGATTTTCATSGAGTCTTGTAAAAATTGCAAATCAACTGACTTCGTCCTTCTGATAGTCAGTGTTTTTATGTGGCTCAAGAACACCACAATACATGGAAGAGAGTCTGTCAACTATAAAAGTTTCGGTCACGCAAATTTACCTCAGAATGGAATACAGCGAAAAACGTATCTCTTTCCCCATCGCCTCTTAGTAATCTTATCCTGATTACCCATCATTCATCGTCAAGCGTAAACTCCTCTATTATATTCTATAGAGGATATTACATGGGCACACGGAGATACGGATTTTATCTTCGAGTGTTGAAAAAATCTCACGAGTGAGCGTTTATGCTTATCATATAATTAAATATGAAAGCAAATTATGTCGGAAAATATCTTTTTTCTTACTTCCACTATATAGAGAAACCTCGAATGTGTTATTTTCACTAGTGAAA